AAGGGGATGAGCGCAAAACTAGCCAACTTTTTTTTTTACTTAGACTAATGTATACTAACTGTTACTTACTTTACTTACCTTACCTTATTTTACTACTTTTCGCCTTCCCCGCCCCCCTCAATCCTGCCATTTTTCTTTGCGGGGGGGGGGGGGGAAGGACTCTCGGGGGATCGGTCGGAGTGATTTTTCAATATATTTCTTTATTTCTTTCTGGTAATGCTGCATAGGCGTGTGTACGTAGTGTGTATTAGGTCCGCGGCGGCGGCGGCGATGGCGATGATGATGGTCGGTGGAATGTCGGAAGAGAAACGAACAGAATACGAGGTTGAACTAGGTTAGGGGGTATGTGTGTGTGTGTGTGTGGCATGGGTGATGGAGTGGCGAAATGCGGAAATTCCAGAGTGTTGGGTTGGTTGTAAAGGGCAAAAAAAACGCAAGTGCATTTGCATTGCATGCATGGTGTGTATTTCGAAGAAGAAAAGGTGGTTGGTTCTGTTACCGGACCGGTATTACTACTTTTGTTTTTATTTGCTTTCTTTTTCTTTTGCCCTGGCACCTTACACACACACCCCTTTATTTCTTAGGTTTGGAGCAATGGGAGAGTTTGCTTGATTCATTGTCAATTGTAAACTCTAAAAAAACAGTCGCCGTGCCAGGTAAAGACAGAGAGTTTAGCAAACGCTCACATGGTTACAACGTATTATCTCGTCTACAGTATTACCATATTTTGCGTTTTGCCCAAAGTACTTACGGGATTACGGGGAAAAATGGGGAGAGAGGGACGGGTGAGTCATGTGGTATGTAGGGCTATGGACCTAATGGGGTAAAGTAGTATGAAAGTATAGTAAGATCGGAAAGGCAGAATGGGGTAAAGGTCGAAAAAGGTAAGTAGCAAGTATGTAGAAAGACGGAAGGGAAGGGAGATCCCACGGCGGCTGTTGGTGTCGATCATGCATTCTGGTGGCCCTGGGGTAGCCCGCAACAGCGTGTGCGTATGCGTATGCGTATGCGTATGTTAGGTGTGTGTGGATATGGTGTGCTCATGTGTGTCACGATGGCGGGCTTGTACAGGGAAGAACCCTTCTTCCCTAGCTCCCGAGCACATCCGCTGTCTGACGTACAGTGGAGAGGGGGTTTGATAGGGAGGCGTACGATGATTGCCTCCTCGGAACCAAACACCTAGGCGTGCATGAGAGAGATGTGTGTATGCGGGCCGGCAATGTGGGGTGGGGTTGGCGGTTTGGCGGTTGCGGCGGTGGAGGAGGAATGATCACCTACATACTTTTGTAGATAACGGTGGTGATGGTGATGGTAGGAATCTTAGTAGTGGCTGGATGCGCTTCCAGCTAGCCCTAAACGCTTGCCGGGTCAGGGGGCTGCGTGTATGCGTTGTCGTTGTTCATGTGGTGGGTGCTGGGCTGCGTTCCTTAGTGCGGGGTCACTTTCCCATTCCCCCCAGCCTTCACCGGAAAACGTCAAACTGTCAAAACGTCACGCTCGACTTGTGTGTGTGTGTGCAACCGTATGTGTGCATTCGAGGGTGTGTAACTCCAAGAGGCCCTTGTTCTGACAATCGATCGATTTGTTGGGTCTGATCAACTGCCCTGCTCTATTTCTCTTTCTATTTCATGCTACCAGCTAGCAAACGATATTTGGAAAAAGGGTATTGGACTAGCGATAGTCACGCATTCACGTGGTAAACTAAATATTGGGACAAACGGGCTCCCGAACAAGCTTTTGGCTCAAAAACTGGAATAAATGGGTGGGGCTGGGTTCGGTCGGTAGTTAGGTACGTAGATGGACAGAGTTTGGGTAGAGCTTACTGGTAGAGCTTACTCACTCTGCGCTATCCCGTACATGATACTTCTTCTCCGCAGCCAAAAGGAAAAGGAGAAAAAAAATTATATACAAGTGCGAGAAAGAAACGCATGCATGAAAAAGAAAACAGCCGTACCAGCCAAATGCAGACGGCAACTAAATGCAACCCCAAGCTAGAAAATTCTAGCTGCCCTGACATGTCATAATGTTTTCTTTTCTAGTGCTTGCTTCTAGAACCCAGATGCTACATTTGGGTCTTGACTCGTTCCAAACATTCTCGCATTAGCTGAAGGGAAGAAGAAAAGAGAGCAAAAGTGCTTTCCGGTGGAGTGAACATTGGATTGTAGATCGTTCGATTGCATGCAGAACGCTAGCTTGGTGCGACGATAATGACGAAAGTGGTGTTGGTGAAGGATGATGTTGTAATGGTGTTTGTATGGCATACGTACATGGTAATCTACATACACCGCAATATGCTGCTCTACATAGGCGAGAAGATACATACACACACACAAACATACCCCCTGTGTACATCGCATGAATGAGGTTCTAACTGCATTCGTTCTTACATACATGTATGCGCTTACAACACAAGCTGCATTTGTGTAACCCATCGGGTAAGTGCAGCGTACATCTTCTCAAAGGCTCTCTCCTTCCATGGCATTCTGTTTATTTGCCTTTTCTCTTTCATCAGTTTTACACTTCAATCTGTTTTCGGCCTAGATTGCATGCCTGACTGGCGAGAGTGCTGCGTCAACCGGATTAGGAAAACCAAGATACGTTCGTTGGTGCATTTGCACTACTTCGTGAGCATGGGGTGTGTGTAACCTGCAAGTCGTTTTGCTGTTGAGGTTGAGGTTGAGGTTGGGGTATGGGGAATTCAAGCGGTGTGAAGAGGATGGGTGTGAGTGTAAGATTGTGGCGTTCGTTGCGGTGACAGTATCGTTGGGAAAATATACGAGAAGATAAATTGGTAGAGGAGGCGTGACCGATGCGTATACACTAGATGGCAAAAAACATGGGAGTGTTTCTCCGAAGTCGATATACAGACAATGAACTGTTGCTAAGTCCCTCTTTCCAGAGCTGACAGGCACCCTTTTCCAAGATGACTTGTGAATAGATTGCGAAAAAGGAGACAGGGTATTCCGGTAAAACATCATCATTCTCTCATTCTTCAAAGGCAAACTTGAGTAAGTACACACTCATGGTATTTTTCTACGTTGATGTATCGTATCTAATCGCTTTTTAGAACCCCTGCTTGAACTTGGGTACATATGCCTCTTCCAGGTATTTCGCGTCTTCATCGCTAAGCTTGAAGTGAACGTTCTGTACCGCTTCTTCAATTCTTTCTTTGCTGCCCAATCCAATGATGGGGCAAACGCCCTTTTTGATAGTCCATGCTGTTGCAATACATGCCATGCTAACGTTATTCTTCTTTGCAACCTCTTCGACTCGCTCAATGATCTTCTTGTCAACAGTATCTTCCCTCGAATAAACGAGTAGATCCTGGAACTTATCGGTTTCTGCACGCTTTGTAGATCGATTATTCCAAGGGCGTGTAAGGGCACCACGGGCTATGGGCGACCATGGAATGAGACCGACGCCAGTGTCTTGACAGTATGGAATCTGGACGATTTATTAGAGCGGCCCACATAACTCCCTGAACTCTGGTACTTACCATTTCACGCTCCTCCTCGCGGTAAAGCAAATTGTAGTAATTCTGCATCGAGATGAACTTGTGCCAGCCGTTCCTGTCTGCAATATTTTGCAATGTTTGGAACTCCCACGCAGCCATTGAACTGGCGCCAATGTAGCGTACCCAGCCCTTCTCAATAACATCGTTCAGGGCCTTCATGATTTCCTCCCTGGGTGTACCACGATCCAAACGATGGATCTGTAGGACATCAATGTAGGTGCCCAGTCTTTCCACACTCTTCTCTACGGCGTCGAAGATGTGCTTGCGACTCAAGCCAATTTGGTTGACCATCTCGCCATCGTTGATGGAAACTTGTGCAATTTGGACGGTAGGGTCTTCTTCGTTGACGCCGAAGTAGCATTTCGATAGAATGACAACCTTGCTGCGCGGGATATTGTATTGCTTCAGCGCTTTTGCAATGATTTTCTCAGAGATACCGTGGGAGTAGATGTCGGCCTTGATAGTGTTCTGTTAGCCCTGCGTTTACGTACGCGCTATCATTGCGATGATGTGTAGGAAGTCGTCTGAAGGCCAAACATACTGTATCCCAGGTGTTGATACCACACTTGTATGCATGCTCAAGCAGTGGCAAGCTTTCGGCTTCGTCTAGAACCCATGGCTGCCATTTGGAAGAGCCATAGCTCATGGTACCCAAAATGACCTTTGAGACTTTGAGGCCAGACTTTCCTAGGCTATTTCACATGAGTATACTTGCCATTGGAAGCTCCAGTTGCTCATGGCAGTGAAGAACTCACTTGACGTATTCCATCTTCTTTTCTGCCATTGCTGCGTATGTATATGGAGTCTCTTGGAAAGTTGTGTGAAGGGAGTCGTTAGTGACAGTTTTGTGCGATTGTGGTCTTCGCGGGGAGGCAATGGGGGGGGTTTATAAATCAGGCGGTAGTTTTATTGAAGGAGAACCGCGGAGTTTGCTGCAAAATCCGCTCGGCCCATCCGGTTTTAGGTCACTTAAATGAATTCTAGCAATGAAAGGCAGGGAAGCGGACTTGCCTCTGCCAATCTATGTTCGATGATGTGGCGGTATAAAGTGGGGGTTGGATTTAGCGGAGATATTGCCAGTCGCGTCAGCTGAAGTGGGGTTGTCGGAATTAAGCCGTGGTCAATGCAGTACCGCGATGGCGGCAGAGGCAACATCGTGGTGTCGCTGTCCAACCTCAACTGTCAACCTGACACAGGCATAACGTCAACAAGCTAGAGATTATGAAGCATGTATTGTGCACACGCATAATCTGTGCAAGAGGCCGCACAGTCTGAGAAGTTGATCAGCAAAGACAAGTCATCACGTGTCGCATAAGCACAACAGTATTTGAGCGAACTCGAAGCCCGTAGGCTTGTGTAGATGCATTGATGAGGCTTTAGTAGCCGTATGAACTATGAATAAAACTGATTCGCTTTAACGCAGCCCGTAGGCTGAATCATGTCATAAACGCCATACCCAGAAAGATATCGTAAACTATCGTCACGCTTACTGACCGCCACGTAGACGGAGCACCAAGTGGAGCGTGGACTCCTTCTGGATGTTGTAATCGGCAAGCGTCCTGCCGTCCTCAAGTTGCTTACCAGCAAAGATGAGACGCTGCTGGTCAGGAGGGATACCCTCCTTGTCCTGAATCTTCGCCTTTACGTTGTCAATGGTATCGCTTGATTCCACCTCCAAAGTAATCGTCTTGCCGGTGAGAGTCTTGACGAAGATTTGCATACCACCACGCAGACGGAGCACCAAGTGAAGTGTCGACTCCTTCTGGATATTGTAGTCGGCAAGAGTACGGCCATCTTCCAACTGCTTGCCCGCAAAGATGAGACGTTGCTGGTCTGGAGGAATACCTTCCTTGTCCTGAATCTTTGCCTTGACGTTGTCAATAGTATCCGAAGACTCGACCTCCAGCGTGATGGTCTTTCCAGTCAGTGTCTTGACGAAGATCTGCATACCACCACGCAGACGGAGGACGAGATGCAGAGTAGACTCCTTCTGAATGTTGTAGTCGGCAAGGGT